CTGTATTCTTTGGAAATGCTAAAAAACAAGCAGCAATGCTTTCATATCCATGCACTTTATTGGAAGTAGAGAAAATAAAAGAACAAACAAACAAAAGAACACTTTTATGGCTTTTGAGTCATCAAGATACAAGGAATGGAGCTCTAATTTATGCGTATGTCAAAGCAGACTTTGTGTGTCAGGACACCAAGCGAGGAAACTAATGGGAATACAAGCAACATAATTACTTGTTGCTGACTAGAGAAGGTGAAATGTGTTTTTTTGGTTCCTTTATGGCTTGCCTGCCTACCTATAGATGACAGACTGGTCTGAGACAGCTAACAAAGAACTTCACGAGAGCCCTACCCCTGCTCTCCATGACCACACTGTCTCATGAGTACAGCTCTGCGGACTTGCCTAAAATGACTTCATCTTGATTTTGATGAAATGGAGAGTCCTAAAGAGCTCATTTCCAGAAACACTTCCTGGAGCACTCTAGGAAAGGGATTTTGAACTAAGTATTACAACTCATTTCATAATTAGGAAAAGTTTCATCAGAAGAAGTTGATGAGGAGCGCGAATTGGCCGATAGATGCCCCAAGACAACCACAAGCTTTAAAGGAAAAGCATATATCAAGAGGAATATGTTTTAAGTATCCCTTTTCTGAAGTGATCCTGGTGGTGTTTCTCTGATGTGGTTTCCTGATGCTACAGTGTTCTCCTTCCTAGTATGCCTCTTCCTCAAGTGCAAACTCGTGTTGAAGACATTTTTACTACTGAAAGAGGACCAGAGCTTTCATTTTTGCAACTGTGTTTTGCACAGAGGACCCGTTGAAATCCTCATCCTTGGCCTGCACATCCCTTGTGGATGAGCTGAGCTTCCTGAGCTCCTCTCAGCCCTGCAGCTCTTTTCATCCATCTCTTTGGTCCTACCATCATGTTCACCAGTACCCTGTGGGGCTGAGCCCTGGCACAAATAGTCCCCACTTCTGGATCTCAACTCTCCGCTCCTGGAGATGTGGCTCCAGCTGGTGGCTCCAGGGACACACCACCTATCCATGGAGCTGGCAGTGCTTCTGGAGGTGAATCCTCGTCGGCAAGCCCAAAGCTCTGCAGGGAAGGATGCTCCACCAGCACCACAGAAAGACCATTGTCCTCTGCACTGTCTACCAGCAGGGCCAGCTCCACATCCCAGGCTGGAGACTATGTTGCAAGGGGTGCTGACCACTGTCATGGGAAGACAAAACCTGAGTCATTCTGAGGACATTTCCCGTGGGCAGAACATGGCTTTTCCCCTCCCTGTGAGAACCAGAATTGGCATTTTTAAAGTTGTAAGAAAAAAAAAAGCAAAACTTGGAATTACTTACACATGCTCATGGGTATTCCAGTGGATATCCTAAAGAAGTAGAAAGTCAAATGGTTATCCATCACAATAACTAGCGTTTTTAGCATTTTCCACCCTTCTTGTCTCTGCCGAAGGGCTCCAAAGCCTGTCCACCTCCCATACATGGTTGCAGAGGTGCCTACCTGCTCTCTTCACCCTCCAGTAAAGTCTTATAGGTTGCAATCTCGATACCCAGAGCCCGTTTGACATTCAGCAGCTCCTGGTAATCCCGCAGCATGCAAGCCAGCTCATCCTTGGCCTTCTGGAGGGCGTTCTGCAGCTCAACGTGCTTCTCCCGGGCATCTTTCAGGGCACAGTCCCTGTGGTTCTCAGTAGCATAAATGGATGTTTGCAGAGAGGACACCTATCCAGGGAGAGACAAAAGTCCTTATTTCCTCTGTCCTTTCTCTTTCCATTTTCACCTTTAAAAGAGTACTTCTCTTTCCTTTTGAGAGTGACAAATTCAGAAGTATTGATGTCATTTTTGGGAAAGTCGAATGTTTCTAAAAAGAAATCAAACATCCCTTCTGAAATATTAGAGGAAGACTGTTCACATCTGTGTGCTGTGAGACTACCCTAAGCTTGTTTCAAGGACACTAATGTTTTGTTCTAATTGGAACTAATCATTAAGGTTTTCCATTATTTCCCGTTATAAAATATATAATGAACCTGAAAATTATACCACTTACTTTACTATGGGTGCTGAATTAGTGGTGAGTCATAACTCTACCTTACTTATTGGATGCCTTGAGCCTGTGTCGGAAGCATTGTCTCCTACTAGAATTCCTGTTGGAGCAATTGTCGGAGTTGCTAACCAATGATGTAATTTGGTGCAATTAGTTATTTACAATAATCAAAATGATCCAGCAGAAAACAGTCCATCAGATAAATCCTGTAGCACTGTTAAGATCTTAGAGCAGTGGAAACAGTCTGAGCAATGATCTACATTAAAGACAAAAGGACTGTCTGGAAATCCAGAGGATTGGAGTCTTACATCCAGGGGATCCAGTGAGTAAATGTGACCCATCGTACCTGCTTCTTCATGTTGTCAAGGTCACACTGCCGTCTCTGCATGACCAGACTCAGCTCTTCAACCTCTTGCTGGTGGGACTTTAGCTCATGATAACGTCTTCCCTTTGCCTCCTCAAGCTCTTGATACTGATGGTGAGAAAGGAGAGAGCTGGCAATTAACACTGGTTTCCAAGGTCTTTATGCTACTATTTTTGACAGTGACAGAATTACGGTAGGTCACTGGGTTTTCCAACTTACCCTAGTTCTGTAGAGCGCATCCAACTCTGCCTTACTTTTCTGAGCTAGGTCCTCATACCAGCACTCAATGCTCTTGAGGATGCCCTCCACAGCAAGGCCTCGACTGTTGTCCATTTTCACAATGACAGATGCATCACAGAGACTTCTCTCCAACTCAGCAGTTTCCTAGAAGCCACATGAAGTACTAATAAGCAATCAGGAGTCTTTCCTCCCTTGATTTCTTATCTTCATCCACCCCAGTGGAAGTAACAGTGCAACCAAGAGCTTTTTTGTAGCCACGACTCATGCTGTGACTAGACTTGCAGCTCGAGTCCCATTGCCTCCAAGAGGGAGCCTGCTGGATTGGTTTAATCTGCCATAAGTCAATATAGACAAGGAGTGGCTGGTAGGAATGGGAACAGGCAAGCAAGACCAGGATAGGAGGATCCGTACCTGAGCAAACACACACTTCAGGAGCTCTATTTCCCGCTTTAGGTTTTCCAGTTTTACATCCAGCTCTGCCTTGGTCAGATAGTCACAATCCACATCCTAAAAGAGTTTGCAGGTGTTTAGAAGTTGGAGACCACAGGCAGTTTCACTATGTTTTTTGGGTAAGATGTTGTGTTTAGAAAATGTGATTTGAAAGGTTGTATGTCCCTAGCACAACAGCTGAGGGGGTCCCACGGGCATATACAATATTGCTGAACTCTTACTTAGTAATATCATGATTTGGGTGCTGGAATAATGAGCAGACATTTTAGATTTAAATGTAATTTCTGTGCTAAATGGCAGAGGCTTGATGCTCTCTGGCAATACTCTGTGATGTGTTTTTTCTGAATACTTATTTGTCTAATGACTTTTAATATTCTCTAGACCTGATTCTTATTGTGGAAAAGAGAGATGAGAGGAAACTCCCTGAATCTCCAAATCCAGCGTTTCCATTCATCCAAATTCCTTACCTTCTTCAGTAGCATGAACTGCTTCTTGGCAGCTGTGTGCCTGCTCACTTCTTGCTCACATCTGCCAGGGAAGAAAAGAGACCCATTCCTAGGTCATTCTGTGGTTGGAGGCCTTATTTTGGGTTTTGTTTTTAGGGGTCGTGGTGCTTTTGGAATGTACTTTTTGTTAGAGAGAAGGTCATCAAGAAACACACACAAAAAAAGCATCCACCTCCCTCATATAGTTTCTGTCCACTTACTTGCATTTCAACTCCTCAACCAGCTTCTCCATGTCATTCTGCTCAAGTTTCCTCTGCCTCCTCTCCTGCAGGAGCAAGTCCAGCTGCCTTTTCAGGCTGCAAATGAAGCTCTCAAAGACTTGCTTGAGGTTCTTCTGGGGTGGCATGACCTGCTTTTGGAGGAGGTCCCATTTAGTGACCAGCTCCCTGTTGCGCTGCTCCAGGCGTTGTACCTGCAAGCAGAAGGCAAAGCCACCCTCTTCAGGCACGTGCTTAGGTCCTTAGGGATCAGGTGAATGGGGAAGGAATTAGGCATCTTCTCCTCTGAGTCAGTGCTCTAGGGGCTTGTAATGAAGGGGACAAGGACAAAAGGGAGATGTGGTGATCTTCATAACCGAGGAATCCCAGGGCCATCAAGGCCTGATGCTTTCCTGTTCCCTGGGGCAGCCTTAAGCCACACAGCCTTTTCTGCAACTGCAGAGACCCTGAGCCTTTTAAATACATCTGCATAGCAGCTGGATGCTCAGACAGTGGAAATCACCATTTGTCAGTAGAAGACCACGTCACTTTGCAGGGTCTAGCTGTGTGGAGTGAGTGCAAGAATGCAGAAGCATAGCAGAAGACCTTGGAGGAACAGCTCCCTTACACTATTAAAAGTAAATACAAATGCAGCTTACCCAAGCACACAAGTACAGATTAAAATAACCTTATCAGCTAGACCAGCACCGTCTTGGAGAGCTGCCACACAGCATGGGAGACGTGTGATGATAGAAGGAGAGGAATCAAAGAGCTGGGCAAAAAAGGAAGGTTCCCTTCGTACCTAAACCTCGTTTCTTTGTGTCTCTTCTCAGATCTCACCTTGTCAATGAAAAAGGCAGACTGGTTATTGAGGCTCTTCATCTGCTCCCTCTCCTGCCGTTGGATGCACCGGATTCCAGGGTCCATCCTGACACAAAGGGGCTGCAGGAGGCCCTTGTTGATGTGCACCCAGCAAAGACCTCCACTTCTGCAGCTCCTGTCCAAGGCACCTCCCACGCTTCCACAGGTGCCACCATTGCCTTTGTAATGGACATCCTGGTATCCCCATCCTCTTCTACCAGAGGAAACCTGTTGACATCCATCCTCATTCCAGAGACTTCGGCTGTATCTCCAGACTCCATACGCTCTCCCAAATGGTGCAGCTGGGAGGAAAATGTTGGTTCTGCAGCATGTTGGGCGGCCCACAGCAGATACTGATGAGAAGCACTTTTGGCCACGGAGAGACCTTCCAGCTGACAGCTGCTGGCTCATGCTGGGACGCCTGGATGAGGCAAGAATCAGGAAAACCGGGCACCTGGGAGAGGGCGGGCAGCTCCAAGAGGGACTTCTGCTCCAACATCCACAAGCATTTCCTTTATACACATCTCAAAAGCTGGGCTTGGTTGATGGGGAAGAATAATTTGGGGTTTTTGCAGGGGTTTGCCTTGCCTTGCAGCAGTTCACAGGTTTCAGTATGCAAAATGTGTAACGTGAACATTTATGAAATGCTGTGGAATTTTTTTCTGATTTTAAATAGTATTGCTTGCAAACTCAGCTTGGAGGACAGCAGAGGCTGGGTCTAGTGATTTGTTTTTTTCTTGTTATTTTAATTTGTTCTCCTTCCTCCCATTAATTACAGCTTAGGTCAGAAATGACCTTAAGAGCATCTCCCATTCTGTCAATGGCAGATTGAAGAGGAATGTTCTGGTGAACAGCAAATTAGAACTGAATTTTGCATTATCTGCTCTCTGTGGAGCCTTGGCAGTCTCCAAAACTCTGCTTTTCCCAGAGGGACAAAGACAGCCATGCCCACAAGTCACATGAGGAGGCAGCCCAATGCTTGGAGACCGGGAATCACCATGTGGAAATGTACATTTTTCTGTCATGATACAAAAGGGTAAAAATATTTTATTTCAATCTTTCCTATTTGAGATCATAAAGAAAACTCAAGGTATACCTTAAGGCAAATAAAAGATTTATTAGGCTTGCTTGGCAGATGGGGAAGGAGAAGCTGATAAGTTTAATATAGTTGCTGAGAGCCTCCCAATGCTTCGGCATGGAGCCAAGTCTGCAGCTCAGTTCTCCTGGCCCCTTTCCAGGCTCCCTTTGGTAACAGAAGTGTGGAAGGTTTCGATTCAGGTTTGAAAGAAACGACTTTCCCCTGCTCCTCTGCCACTTTCTCGTGAACTTTTCCATCAGCTCAAAACTTGCTTAGCGTTCTTGGCAATTTAACATCTAAGGGTTTCAAATTCCCAGGAAGAGGGTGATAGCTCACTTGCTCATTTCTTTCCTTAGTTTTACAGGGACTTTTTTTGCTCCCTGGGACCATTGGAGGACTTTTTTTTTTCACTATCTTTTGCAAGAGGCTCGTCGAAAAGCAAATCTGCTTACGAGAAGCCCTGATAGTATTCTGTCTCCAAAGCAGCTGATGCCAAAGGTTTTCTTGTACCTCATCATTTGCAAATATTCTGCACTGGAACATCTTGCCCATAGCCCAGTGAGCAAGATAATTGAGGGTATGAAGCAGCTGGAAAGACAACTAGCTTAATTGCGGGTTCTTGACAGCACTATCAACTCCTGCCTAAATACCAGCCGAGTCCATGGCAATCCCAGCTGGAAGAGCAGGATCGGAACCTTGGAGGAGGGACCTTGGCCTGGAGTCTGTTCTTGTTTTGTTTTTCTGGTTTCTCTCTCCTCCATCTCCTACTGAATCCCCCGCACTCCCCATCTCGCAGATGGGGATTCGGGATGGTCATGGTGCTCCTGCAGCCTGTGGGACTCTGCTTGGTCTTGCTGTTAGCAGCGCAAGGAGAGTTTGGGTCCTTCCAAGTGGGAAGAGCTTTTGTGTTTGTACAAGGTTGGGAGGGTCTTGGTTTCAAAGGTTTTCTTCCCATTAAGGCACATTGATATGCAAAATGCTAGAACTTGTTTTTTCACATCCCTAGGGGCAGAGAAGGGTGGATTTACCCAGATCAGCCTCACCTCTGACCCTGAGTCCCAATGTGCCCTGATGACCCTGAGTCCCCAAAAGGCAGATGATGCCACTTGGTGCAGCCCTGGGGCTGGTCTCAACCTCACAGCAGTCCTTTTGCAGGGCAGCATCCAGCCCAGCTCATGTTGTAGTTTAAAGGCTCACACATTTTCCCTCCCAACTTCACCTTTTCCCACTCAGGTTGCTGCAGAAACCAGAGTTTTCCCATGTCCTGTGGCAGTGGAGAGCCTCTTCAGGATGAAAATACACCAGATTCCCTCCCCTTAATGGCACTCTGTGTTTCTATGTCCAAGCAGTTTGCTGTGACTTCCCTGTTTGTGGGCACAGGGAGAGTAGAAAAGGGAAGATCTCCCAGGGTAATCACAACTCATTAGGGTTTTTTTCCCCCCTTAATCACCAGGTATTTTGGAAAGAAGCCCAGAAGTAAAGAAAGAAGAAGGCCTATCCAATTTTGACCATGACTAATTTCAAAGCTTTTTGTCAAGGTAAGTGAGAAGGGAATTTTTTTGTGCTGGGTATCTTGCATGGTGAAGAGTGCTGAAGCCCCAAACTCCATCAGTCGGGATGGGACAGATTTCTCCAAGCTCTGCATCTCTGTGGCACAACTTTTATTCTCCCACTAGGTGGAGGTATGTAATGTGTCTTGAGCATCCCTGGCCTGACAGGTTCTTCTTTGGGTTCTTGGTGTTGTGACATTGACAACTAGTCCAACACTCAGGGACCTCTCAGGTAGCTCTCACCTGTAGAGGGCAATATGTATTTAGAAGCCAGGACAGTAAGAGAACATTAAGTCCACCTAGAAAAAGCTGAGGTCTCCTGTGGATTTGTGCCCCAAAGGTGGCTATGGGATGTTTCATAAAGTGCATGTGCGTTTTGTGATGCATCTTCTGACAGAAGGACGACACTGAGATACAAACTTCCCGACAGTTTTAATGACAACTGACCAACTGTCATCTTCTTTGATGCCTTCATTTCCTTCTCTCCTACCTGAAATTTTGCTCTTTGAGTCCCCATCCTTGGAGGTTCAAGCCATGTCTTGTCACAGGGTGTCAGTAGGAACCTTGTTTTGGTGTTACATGATGAGCATGTTTGCAGTATTGTGCTGACTGGTGCCACCTGCATCAAGACGCTGATGATACAGAGGGTCTCATCTTATGATCTTGTCCTCTCATGACCTAAGCTCAATATTTGAACCTCAAAAATCAAAAAGTCTCTGGGAAAAGGCTTAGCCAATGTATCTTGTGATGATTCCCATTAAAAATAATGCTGGTGCAATATATATAATTGACATATGCAACTTGGACTACATATCTGCTGAAGGAAGGAAGCAGATGTTAATCATTTTTTAAAATACTGTATTTTGGGGTGTCTGGAATCCAGGCCCAGATTTTTCACTCCTATTTAAACAGGAGTAATTTCATATGGAAGGAGGTGCCAGAACACTCATCCGCAGAAACTGGAGAGATCATTAGAGCTCAGCTGACAAGCAGAACAGGTTTTGATATACCCTTCAAAACCATTCCTTCACAAAATTAGCCCTGCACTTAAGGCTATGTACTGCCAGGGTGTAAACAGTACTTAGCACAACTTAGCGTAAGTGCTGATCAAGCCCCTTGAAGGAGTTTGGGGTTCACGATCTTTTTTTCTGAGTTGCTCTCCCAGGTTACTCTTACAGTTAACCGAAACAGATGGTTTGTCTGATCTCCAGAAGGTGATTCATTCCAGAATATGTTGAATTACCTCCAAAAATGCCTATTTCTTGCCCCTGACTCTACCTTCCTCCTTTCCTTCTTTCTGCTGTACAAAACAGGTCAGTAAATAACCCACAGACCTGATCACACTGATGAGATTAATGCTTGGTTTCATTGGGTTGCCCTCATTATAGCTGTGAAGGTCCAGGCGTCCTCTCTACGAAAGGGGTTTAATAGTGAAACTGAAGCCCAGCAACAACTAGCAATATGCAATTCAGAAAGAAAAATCAGAATTACCTCCTACAATTTCCAGTTTTCTTGGCAGTGCCCAGGGTGGGAAGGAGGGAGGGAGTAGGGAAGAGTTTTGTCCTGACTGAGTCCTTATTTACTGTCTTGGGTGTAAATGTCCCTGTGAAGAGGTAGCTTCGCACTTGGCTTCTGAAGAGTTGAAGCGTTTCGGTGCCTGACGTTGGAGCAAGTATTAGTAGGGTGAATAAACTACCGTAGCTCTGCAGGGCATTTTGCAAGACTCACACCGCCCACACACTCAGCCAGGGAGATGTGAGCCGGTGCAAATGAAAACCCTGCTTTATCTCAGCAGGTTAGCTAATGCCAGCTCCAGATTTCATTAACATGGTCCTAGAACAGCTGATTGGGGTAAAGCCTGGTAGGACTTTCTGCATTTGATGGGAGCAATGATAACTTGGTTTTGCCTGGAATAGTGTGTCTGGAACTCCCCACATGAAGAGCAGCCCTAGTTTCTTTCAAACCAAAAGTTTTGTGCAGCCCTTTGTGGCTGTCTCTGAACTTTCTCTCTATTTTCATGGTTTCATGGCCATGGGCAAAGGGTTCCCAAGAATGGATTTCCCACCAGGCTGAGCATTTCCTTCCCCAGCGAGGAGCTGCCCACTGGCTCCCATCCCAGACTGCCACCCACCCTCCCATCCTTGGATTCTTCATGGTCTCATTTCTCTGGAAAGCAGGTTGGAAGCTTCCATCTTCCCTCTGGCTGGGGAAGAGGGACATGGAACATTCCTGACATGGGTTGTGACACTCAGGTTAAGTGGAGTCTTGCCAAATTAAGATGACACAGTTATGCTGAGCTTCTTGAACAATTTTTCCCAGGAATCTCAGTTTCTTGGTTCTTCATTAGAACTTTTTATTGGGCATAGAGTAGCTCCCATGAGAATTTAGAAAACTTTTAGCTTCTCCTGCATAGAAGTGACCATTGATTAAAAAAATTAGTTAAACAAGGTGGACCGGGTGGACCCATCCAATCGTGCTTTGGGACCCTAGGGGGAGAACAGGGCTAGAGATGGGATAAGGAGACAATATTGTTTGCAGACATTTTGTTCCTTTCTTAATCAGCCAAATGCAATGGTAGAACAATGGTGGATGACTTGGACTATGCTGTGACTTTGGGAGGGACTGAAGGGAGACAGAGCCATGCATCCTGGTTAATTGACTAGCCTAGGCCAATGGGACTTGCATTCTGAAACCCTTTTTTGCCATGAGCCTGTGGTCCTCTAGCCCCAGAGGTTCATTTGAAAGAGCGTTTCTCCACATTTCCATTAAAAACTTTCTGAACTGTCTGTGTTTCAGGGTTGCACCCTCAAATAGATGAACACACACACCAGGCAGGGTTGCAAACTTTTAGTAGACAACATAAAAGGACCAAAATATCACCTGAGAGCTGAAGTGCTCAGAGCATTCCAGAAAATGCCTAAAGAAACAATAGCTGCAGTCACAATATCTTCAAGAGGAAGGATAGGTCTAAAGAATGTGTGCCCATGGCACACTGGAGGAACAATCAGGAGATGGCAGGGCAGAGAGCACAGAGCTCAGGACTACTTGACCCATCTAGACTAGGAGTGGATCAGTCAAGAGAAGGAAAGGCACCCTTGCATCCACAAGAACTCCACGGCCCCATTCAGGGCACAGTTGCTCTTTGCATTTGCATGTAAATATGATTTCTGAGAAGCATCTCTAGATGAACCACATACCCCTGAGCTCCTCCTCCCACCAGAGCGACTAGCCCCTGTTGAGAAAAGCTGTCTGCATTGGAAATGCACTTTCCAAAAGTGACTCGAAAGCGAAAAATTGCAAAACTAGGGTACACTACTCCTTTGCACTTGGCTCCTCTCCAAAGCTCACCCCAGATCCACATCCTCCCCTTCCCGAGCAATATCCTCCCCCTCCACATATGGAACTTCCATACCCATAACCAACACTTTCACAACCATGGCTTCCAGGAAAATCATTTCCTCCCCCTCCACAGATGGACCCTACACTACCGTAAGAAGATCCACCACCACCTGATGTTCCACCTCCACAAGAACCATATCCTACACCACCAGAGCTTCCACAGCCACCTCCAGAGCCATAACCACCACTTCCAGAGCCAATTCCGCCTCCTCCAGTGCAGGATCCTCCACCTCCTGAGCCGTATCCTCTTCCTCCAGAGCCGTATCCTCCACCTCCGGAGCCGTATCCTCTTCCTCCAGAGCCGTATCCTCCACCTCCGGAGCCGTATCCTCTTCCTCCAGAGCCGTATCCTCCACCTCCGGAGCCGTATCCTCTTCCTCCAGAGCCGTATCCTCCACCTCCGGAGCCGTATCCTCTTCCTCCAGAGCCGTATCCTCCACCACAGATGGAGCTGGAGCTACCAGAGCTGGAGCCTCCAACCCCAGAGCTTCCTCCTCCTCCAGAGCCATAACCACCACTTCCAGAGCCAATTCCTCCTCCTCCAATGCAGGATCCTCCACCACCAGAGATGGAGCCTCTCCTTCCAGAGCTGCCGCTACCACCAGAGCTCACACCACCACTGTGAGGACTGTGCCTGCCACTTCCACACACATGTCCTCCTCCTCCAGAGCCGTATCCTCCACCTCCGGAGCCGTATCCTCTTCCTCCCCCTCCCCCCCCAGAGCCATATCCTCCACCCCCAGAGCCGTATCCTCCTCCTCCAATGCTAGATCCTCCACCACCTGAGCTCCCACCTCCACCACCAGAGATGGAGCCTCTCCTTCCAGAGCTGCTGCTACCACCAGAGCTCACACCACCACTGTGAGGACTGTGCCAGCCACTTCCAGAGCCGTATCCTCCTCCTCCAGAGCTGGAGCCTCCTCCACCACAGATGGAGCCGGAGCTACCAGAGCTGGAGCCTCCAACCCCAGAGCTTCCTCCTCCTCCAGAGCCATAACCACCACTTCCAGAGCCAATTCCTCCTCCTCCAATGCAGGATCCTCCACCACCAGAGATGGAGCCTCTCCTTCCAGAGCTGCCGCTACCACCAGAGCTCACACCACCACTGTGAGGACTGTGCCTGCCACTTCCACACACATGTCCTCCTCCTCCAGAGCCGTATCCTCCACCTCCGGAGCCGTATCCTCTTCCTCCAGAGCCGTATCCTCCACCACAGATGGAGCTGGAGCTACCAGAGCTGGAGCCTCCAACCCCAGAGCTTCCTCCTCCTCCAGAGCCATAACCACCACTTCCAGAGCCAATTCCGCCTCCTCCAATGCAGGATCCTCCACCACCAGAGATGGAGCCTCTCCTTCCAGAGCTGCCGCTACCACCAGAGCTCACACCACCACTGTGAGGACTGTGCCAGCCACTTCCAGAGCCATATCCTCCTCCTCCAGAGCCGTATCCTCCACCTCCAGAACTGGAGCCTCCTCCTCCTGAGCCATAACCACAACTTCCAGAGCCAATTCCTCCTCCTCCAATGCAGGATCCTCCACCACCAGAGATGGAGCCTCTCCTTCCAGAGCTGCCGCTGCCACCAGAGCTCCCACTACCACTGTGAGGACTATGCCTGCCACTTCCACACACATGTCCTCCACTTCCAGAGCCATATCCTCCTCCTCCAGAGCTGGAGCCTCCTCCACCGCAGATGGAGCCAGAGCTACCAGAGCTGGAGCCTCCAACGCCGGAGCTTCCTCCTCCTCCAGAGCCATAACCACCACTTCCAGAGCCAATTCCTCCTCCTCCAATGCAGGATCCTCCACCACCAGAGATGGAGCCTCTCCTTCCAGAGCTGCCGCTACCACCAGAGCTCACACCACCACTGTGAGGACTGTGCCTGCCACTTCCACACACATGTCCTCCTCCTCCAGAGCCGTATCCTCCACCTCCGGAGCCGTATCCTCTTCCTCCAGAGCCGTATCCTCCACCACAGATGGAGCTGGAGCTACCAGAGCTGGAGCCTCCAACCCCAGAGCTTCCTCCTCCTCCAGAGCCATAACCACCACTTCCAGAGCCAATTCCGCCTCCTCCAATGCAGGATCCTCCACCACCAGAGATGGAGCCTCTCCTTCCAGAGCTGCCGCTACCACCAGAGCTCACACCACCACTGTGAGGACTGTGCCTGCCACTTCCAGAGCCATATCCGCCACTTCCAGAGCCATATCCTCCTCCAGAGCTGGAGCCTCCTCCACCACAGATGGAGCCGGAGCTACCAGAGCTGGAGCCTCCAACGCCGGAGCTTCCTCCTCCTCCAGAGCCATAACCACCACTTCCAGAGCCAATTCCTCCTCCTCCAATGCAGGATCCTCCACCACCAGAGATGGAGCCTCTCCTTCCAGAGCTGCCGCTACCACCAGAGCTCACACCACCACTGTGAGGACTGTGCCTGCCACTTCCAGAGCCATATCCGCCACTTCCAGAGCCATATCCTCCTCCAGAGCTGGAGCCTCCTCCACCACAGATGGAGCCGGAGCTACCAGAGCTGGAGCCTCCAACGCCGGAGCTTCCTCCTCCTCCAGAGCCATAACCACCACTTCCAGAGCCAATTCCTCCTCCTCCAATGCTAGATCCTCCACCACCAGAGATGGAGCCTCTCCTTCCAGAACTGCCGCTACCACCAGAGCTCACACCACCACCGTGAGGACTGTGCCTGCCACTTCCAGAGCCATATCCTCCTCCTCCAGAGCCGTATCCTCCACCTCCAGAACTGGAGCCTCCTCCTCCTGAGCCATAACCACAACTTCCAGAGCCAATTCCTCCTCCTCCAATGCTAGATCCTCCCACACCTGAGCTCCCACCTCCACCTCCAGAGATGGAGCCTCTCCTTCCAGAGCTGCTGCTAACACCAGAGCTCCCACCACCACTGTGAGGACTGTGCCTGCCACTTCCACACACATCTCCTCCACCTCCAGAGCCGTATCCTCCACTTCCAGAGCCATATCCTCCACCTCCAGAGCTGGAGCCTCCTCCACCACAGATGGAGCCGGAGCTACCAGAGCTGGAGCCCCCAACCCCAGAGCTTCCTCCTCCTCCAGAGCCATAACCACCACCTCCAGAGCCAATTCCCCCCTCTTCCTCCTCCTCCAATGCAGGATCCTCCACCACCAGAGATGGAGCCTCTCCTTCCAGAGCTGCCGCTACCACCAGAGCTCACACCACCACCGTGAGGACTGTGCCTGCCACTTCCAGAGCCATATCCTCCTCCTCCAGAGCCGTATCCTCCCCCTCCAGAGCTGGAGCCTCCTCCTCCAGAGCCATAACCACAACTTCCAGAGCCAATTCCTCCTCCTCCAATGCTAGATCCTCCCCCACCTGAGCTCCCACCTCCACCTCCAGAGATGGACCCTCTCCTTCCAGGACTGCAGCTACCACCAGAGCTCACACCGCCACTGTGAGGACTGTGCCAGCCACTTCCAGAGCCATATCCTCCACCTCCAGAGCCGTATCCTCCACCTCCAGAGATGGTGCCTGAGCTGCCAGAGCTGGAGCCTCCAATCCCGGAGCTTCCTCCTCCTCTGGAGCCATAACTGCCTCCTCCAGAGCCATATCCTCCTCCTGAACACCCATGTCTTCCCCCTTCTCCAGAGCTGCTTTCATTTCCACCGATGGAGCCTCCACCCCCTATATTTCCACCTCCACCACCAGGGACAGATCTCCTTCTTCCAGAACTGCTGCTAGTTGCGTTGCTGCAGCCTCCGCTCGGAGGATCTGGTCTCCATCTCTCAGAAACATGAGTTCCTCCTTCGTAGCCACTTCTTCCTGCAGAGCCATATGCACCCCTCTCACAAGAACCTGAGCCATAGCCTCCGGAAACATTTCCAGTGCTATCAGAATGGCATCCTCCTCTAATTCTTCCTCTTATGCCATCAGTAGAACTTGTATTGTAGTCAATGACACCTGCAAGGAAGACATCATTTTTACCTTACTGTACTGGCAATGGAATCAGTGATAATCACAGTAGATACACAAGTGTTCACACATACGCTCACAAGACAATCCCATATGCCCTCTTTTTCTAGGAAATTAAGTTAAAACACACATGGTGTTATGCATCACAGACAGCAAAGTGGTAATAGTGCTCTTCAGAAGGCAATCCATAACCTTGAGATACTTACAGACTGTTGCTGGTGAGCCTTCCTGTATCCTGTGAAAGAAAGGTAAAATTGAGTTATTGTGCCCAATTAATCTAAAAATTAGTTTAGGTCCAATCAATAGCCCAGAGAAAGAGCTCATCCCTTCCAGAGAGCAGTTCTTTTTAGCCATCTAAGTGATGGATATAGGACAGATTGTACTGAGCAGGTGGTTCTATCCAGGATGAAATGTTCGTACTTACCTTGTCTCCTCCCCCTGAAGAAGTGACCTGTACATGGCAATTTCAATATCCAGGGCCATTTTCACATTGAGGAGCTCTTGGTGGTCATGAAGAAGGCGAGCTAGCTCTTCTTGGGCCTGCTGCAAAGCATGGTCCAGCTCCTGAAGCTTTTCCTGGCCATCTTTGATGGCAGAATTACCACGCTGGGCAGCATCCCTAATTGCTTCTTGGAGGCTGGCATTCTGTAGAAGGTATAAGCAGAATGTGTCCTTTTCCCTTTAACAGGAACGGGGTTTTCCAACTTTCCTATGAGACCTTGCAAACTAAAAGACCCGCCTCAGTGATAGCACTCAAAAAAAA